AGAGAATGTGGAAATCTCAAGAGGGATCCAGATTGCTGGCTCAAAATGGAAATCACCTGCGAGGACTTGCTTATAAAGAGTCTATGCAGCAACTCTTTACAGGAAAATGAGGCGGGACGCTCAGCGGACTCGGATGGTCCCTGCGGCCCAGGACTGGAAGCAGGCACTCCTGGCAAACACAGGAGGTCGCTCCTGGGCCTGCCTCACTTCTCCTGGCCCAAGACAGCCACCTTGGCAGAAAGCACAGGGCGGACCTGAGCAGGCGGACTGGGGGGGTCAGCCGTTGCCTGGGACCTAATATAGCGGGACCCGACCGGCTCAAATGCTTGTTGGATTTGCCTGAGCCAGAAAGCACCAGAATAGAAGTGGTGTGAGGCAGCCCGGGGATCACTGCCAAACCACACCATTCAGGAGGAAAAGCAGGACAATGCTAGGATGGATACTTCTAACTGCAGAGAGCTGGCTGCTCCCTGAGAAAGTAGGGCGGGGGTACAAAGGAGTGACGCTCGAGAAACATTTCAGCAGCCTCCGGGAACACATGGGAGCCCTGGGTCTGGGGGTGCTCTCTATGCCCAGTTAGAACACATCAGCTAATTATTAACTTCCCCAATTAGTCAACTGGCCACCGCAGCCCAGCCCCAACCCCCCGGGCCGACGCAGTAGACTCCAGTTGTCTCATCCTGTGCTCATTTCTGTTTCAGACCCGAACTGTGCACTCCTGGCTGACGCCCAGCAGGGTAGGAGCCGCTGAAGGGGTGGCCAGCCTCCAGGCCAGCCTCTGCAGGCCTCCTGGGCCCTCTGGCTGCAAACACAATGGCCTCTGTGGTCACCAGCCTCGTGCTGCAGCGTAAATCCTCAGCTTCTGTCTGTGTTTAATTGCCACCCTGGGAAGTGCTATCCAAGTACAATTGTTTCTGGCTAGGCGTGCAGCTCCTGGGTTCTGCTGCTGCCCACCCTAGACAAACATCTGCAACAAGGGATTCCTAGGGTAGTGCGGGCCATCTGTGTTAAATGCCTATGGGGAGCATGGGGTCACGCAAGCTGGGAACCCCCAATCACACACTGACCAGGGAGGCGGCTCAGACACATGGGGCAGAAGCTCAGCCTTCAGGTCCCTGGGGACCGAATTCACACACCCTTTCAACTACTACCCGACTTTCTCTAGCTAGTGCTATTGTTAAAGTATCTGGAAGGAAGGATGGAAAGAAAGCAGGCAGGCCCCTCGCCTGTCCAGGGGTTTCCAGGGTCAGACTGTGGAGGAAAGGCCTGTTCAAGGGAGAAGGCAGGGAGGGGGCTGTGTCAGTTACCGAAAGGGGGGCGGTCACCTCTGCTCAAAGGCAAGTACTGGGAAAGGTCATTCTTCTAGAAAGGCACAAACAACCACCCAAGCCCCTAAGAGAAGTGGGGCACAGTAAAATGCACATAGAACTGAAGCACTAAAAGGGAGAGAAGACGACATCAAATCATTTGTAACATTTTACTGCAGGACATAGAACATTTTCTACATTAAAAGGGTTTGGTGATTTCTCTTTAAAGCAGACCCCAAAGACCAGAGGAAATGGGTTAAGTGGCACACCTACATGTTAAAATTCAATTTCCACCTCTACAGAATCCCAAGCCGGCTTGGTTCCAGTAGGAATGCTAACTGGACCATCCCCAGAAGAGAGTGGATCATCCACATCTATTTTAGGAGGGCACAAAGGGGACACAAACACACTCTGCATGGTTTCCCCTGGGGCTGCGCTGGCCAGCAGTCTGGACAGCACCCGGGGCCTCTGAGTCACAAGAGGCTCAGGATCCTGGGATGCTGTCTGCAGGGGAACTGTGACTCTGACGGCCCTCTCCTTGGGGAGGGGAGGAGAGGGGGCTGCTACCCACCACTTCGACAGGTAGCACTGGATCCTGTGACAGGAATCCAGATGATTTTGTCTATGGTTACCAGGAGGCTGCTCATAATGATAAATCCTTTTCTCTTTCCATTTCTGAAAAATAGGGGTGCTTCATGGTAGCAACCTCTCAACTCCCCTGGACCCTGGGCTGCCTTTAAAGGGATGAGGTTTGTAAATCTCAGAAGCACTGCTGAACACCTGTGAGGAAGGTACAGTGAAAGGTGTAAGGGAAAACATCAATAAGGAGTGGAAGCAGAGAATTTTTCTGCTCTGCCTGAGTACCCTCTGACTCACAGGGTTTCTCAAACCCAAGGCCTACCTGGATTCTTTTGTTAAATTCAGTAAAAATTAATTGTAACATTTTTCTCTTAAAGAGCATATACTATAAAAGACACAAGAAGATGCTCAATGTAGTTAGTCCTTAGGGAAATACAAATCAAGGCCACAGTGAGATATCACTTTACACCTACTAGGATGACTATAATCAAAAAGACAGACAAGTGCTGGGGAGGATATGGAGAGACGAACCCTCATATGTTGTTGGCGGGAATGTTAGTGGTGCAGCCAGTTTGGAAAATAGGCAGCTTCTCAGAAATGTTCAATGTACAATTACCATATGACCCAGAAATTCCATTCTCATAGGTCCATACCCAAAAAACCTGAAAACATACACTTAAACCAAAACATCTGAACACAAATGTTCAAAGCAGCATGTTTTTTAAGAGCCAAAAACTAGAAACAACTCAAATGTCCATTTATTGATGAACGGAGAGGCAAAATGTGGCATATACTTACAATGGAATATTCTTTAGCCTTAAAAAGAAATGAAGTACAGGCACATGCTACCACATAGATGGATTTTGAAGTATCATGGTAAGTACAAGAAGCCAGACAAAAAAGGCTACATAAGCCCATTTACATTAAATGTTCAGAACAGGCAAATCCATAGAGACAGAGAGTAGATTAGTGGTAACCTAGGGCAAGGGAGTTGAGTATGTTAGCTGTGGGCTTGTCATATATGGCCTCTATTATGTTATGCTTCCTCTATACCTACTTTGTTGTGATTCTTTATCATAAATGAATGTTGAGTTTTCTCAAAAAGTTTTTCTGCACCTTTTGAGATTATCTTTGTTAATGTAGTGTATTATGCTGATTGATTTGTGGGGGTTGAACCATCCTTCTTGCATCCCTGGAATAAATCCCATTCGATCATGGTGTATGATCCTTTTAATGGGAGTGACTGCTAATGGTTTGTTTTCTGATGTGATGAGAATGTTCTGGAATTAGTGTTGATGGCTGCACAGCTTTGTGAATATACTAAAAACCAATGAACTGTGCACTTCATAAAGAAATAAACTAAAAAAAAGAGTACTATAACTTCTTACTTTCTAAAGTCTTTATTTCTCTAACCTCATGTCTGCCCATCCCATCAATCTATCCTTATAATGGTACATGTGCATGGAAAGATACCTGGAATGGTGTTCACCCAGCATTAATGGTAGTTATTTCAAGGTGGTAGAATTTGAAGATCTTTTTATTTTTCTGCATTAAATTCTTAATAATGAACAAATGTCTTTTTTTTTAAACCAGAAAATCAGTAAGTGATTTTCTTAAAAACAGAAAAAGTAGAAAAATAAAAAAAGGAAAACGCCCAAGGCAACAATATATACAGGCGATTCCCTCATGCCAGCATACATTTAACACCTTTCTAATCAGACTTTTATTTTAGTTTGATTACCTCATTGCAGCCAGGATTCACCCAGCTTCCTTTAAACATGCTAGAAGTTGACAGAATCCAAAGGTGTCCCTATTTATATCTGAATCAGCTGTCAGCATCTTCTAGCATTTTCCATTTCTTCCCATTGAACAAATCATATTGACTGTACTGGGTTTCCTTCCTTCCTTCCTCCCTCCCTTCCCCTTTCTCCTTTCTTCCTTTCCTCCTTCTCTGCCTCCCCAGGTCTGGTGGGACAGGGTGAATGAGAAGGGGAAAATTTTTTCCCCTTTCATTTCAAATGCTACAATTCATCTGCTCTTATGTATACATATAGTTTTTTTTTCTACCCTCATGTCATCTAATCTTTCTGCTACTCCTGAGCACTGTCATAAACATTTGTATTCTTCTGACATCCAAGCAACCAAAATCCTTTCCTACATGTGCCAAGGTTCCTGCAGTTGACAGCCTCACTGGATGGCGGGGAGACAGAACCTTTATTAGTTCTGTTTCCAGTTTCATTGCACAGAGCTGGGTGTGAGCTCCACAGTGCCTTATAATTAGCCCAAAGCAGCTGCTATTCCAAAGCCTCACTCAGTACCTGCCACTGCTGCCGATGTGTCTAAATAGTAAATGCAAAAGGCACCATTAAAGTCACATTAAGTTTCTGTCTGAAGCACTGATGGCTTCGATATCCAAAGTTGAGATCAGGCTGCCGCCTTGGTGTTCTTTGTCTTTCTGGGAACTTACTTGTGAGAGTTTTCTGGATTCCAGGAATCTTTCGGCCACCTATGACTGTCAGGTGGAGGATGATGAAGCTGAGGCCACCTCTGACGCGGCTGCTGGTTTTCGCAGCTTGCGTTCACCGGGCGCATGTATAAAATTTTATCTGCTAAGTGACAGGCAGTCTGACCTCATCCTCCTTGCCGGAAGACTAAATTTCAGGGGGCGATGAGGCAACGAAGACCACCAGCAAGCCCCTAGGACTGGCTGGGCAGCCGCGGAGGACTGACAGGGACCAGTGGGTCAGGGAGCAGTGCCGAAGCCGCCCCCGACCTTGGCCTTGCGGGGCACAGGGGCAGTGCGCACGCTCTGAAGCCCCCACAAGCTGCAGTCCCACCTTTCACATAAACAAATGTTTGGAAAACATTCCAGGCAAAACCAAACAGGAACTATTCCCCCTGGTTAGGCAAAGATGAGAAGTGTATTACCTACATCGCACATACTGGCTTTTTTTTTTCTTTTGCTAAACGAAATGTTTCTCCCTCTTCAGTATAAAAACAGCATTTACAAGCACTGAATACTTCAATTATGAATTTCACTTAGTGATGGCATTTGGCATAAAACATTTACTGGGATAGCACAGCAGTCCGAAGCTTTAGGAAGCGCTGACATACCTGTTTAGCTGCTGATGAAGAGATGGCTTTTCTGTCCAGCAGGTTGAGCAGCTCAGCCAGCGCAGAAGGTGTGACAGGACTAGCAGCCCCCGAAAGGAGAGAAAATAAATTTACATTTCACACTGTCAGCATATCCATTTATGGTTATTCAGAAACAAAGCCCTTGATTTTGTGGTTTAAATAATTAAACCCACACCCAGGAATGGAAATAACACGCCAATTGGGCTCTATTTTATTTATTTATTTTGTATTTTAGGATATAACAAATTTCGGTGACTAGTGTTTTTCTTTATTTTACTACTCAACAATCATGGCTGTCTGGCAAAAGTTGTAGCAACAGACAACTGCTCAGTTTAATTAGTCAAAAAAAGGAGTGGCTGCAACATTCATGAACCATGACAAGAGAAAAAAACCAAAACAAAACAACCCAGTAATTAAATATTTTCAATATCAGCCTAAAAATTACTTCAAACAAAAGAGCTAACAAAGCTACTTTTCTGAGTGTTTTTATGCAAATATAAGTTCTTTGTACTTGTAAGAGCTTTTCTTTAAGGGAACTCTCCATGACTGCCATCCGTGTCCTTAACTGTCCTTATGGGCATCAGCAGACACTGTTCTCTCCAGACTCACAAGAGAAGGGTCCAGAATCCATCATATCCATACTTTTAGGATGTGACTTACTTGCCAAGATCCCATGATAAAAGAAAGGCCAAGGAGCAACCAAACCCATAAAGTGTCATTAATTCACATTTGGGGGTAGGAGTGGTGTGTGTGTGTGTATGGGGGGGGTAGTGCCTAGATTAGTGAAAAGACAACACTGAATTACACACCATTTCTTTAAAAATATGTGAATTTGCTACTTTTAAACACATAGAGCAACTAGGCTAATAAAACGCCTGAGGTCATTAAGGGACTAATTTTAAATAGATAGGAAGGACTTATAAATAGCACATCAGTGTGAAGGAGAGCTTCTGAAATGTTTAACGCCAAGGGAAAACACCTTCTGTTTATGTCTTAGTTCTAATCAATCACAATTAATTTCTTTGTAAGCTCTTAGATAATGAAAAGGAAAACTGCCATGGAGGCCCCATCCAGTTTCCATGAATTCCAAACCCAGTGAGTGCAAGTTCACCAGCTCTGACTTACTGGACTCTGGTTCAAGTCCAGTGAAGCCTCATTAGGGTTGTTCATTCGAAGCAGCTGCCCACACAGGGGCAGACCATCATCCTTAAAGTCTTTGTTTATCCCAAAGTAGGGATAAAAGGTAATTCCAAGTGAAAACTAGGTTTGGAGACTAACTGGTGTTATTAAGTTGGTATCTGGAACATCTGTGAACCACGCTGATTAAATCTCAACAGAAGAGGGGCTGAGAGCTGGAAATAAACCGATAAATCCCTTTTCCAACCTTCCACCTTACTGACAATAAAGAATCAGGTTGTTTGAAAAACGAGTGTCCCTTGGGTGTTCTGCAATCCTAGAAAATACGGTGGCTAATGAGAGTGTAGACAGTAGGTAGAACCCATAATAAGTACTGATGTTAAACTGGATTTCTAGAGCATGCAGAAAAGAAAAGGTCCCTTCTCCCACATGAGTTGATATCAGGGACATGGAGACAGAGAACAGAAATAGAACACAACATAACTAAAAATACTTTGCCTTTCATCTAATGACCTTAATTCATTAGTTAGGTCATAAATGTACACTATAAAATATTTCCACTGACCTAACAGCATTGGAGATTTCTCACCTTTCTGTACCCACAAATGCTTGACACATAGTCAATAATATTTGTGTCACAGAACTCTTCCCACCAACAGGGAGAGCTATCTGGTATACCGCACACATTAATTCCAGATATGCCCGGGCTAACCTTGAGTGAGACAGTGACAAAGATCAGTACCTGTCAGACTGATGGTAGAAGACCCCACTCATCAGTTTAATAAATAAACCATCAGATCTGCAACATAATGGCAGCAGAAGCACAAGCTACTGATTTGCTGCTGTCAGATAATGCTGGTTCCTGGACAGTGAATGTGTCTCCACTAAAGAAGACTCTGACACTGGAAGGCTTAAGCTTTGTGTGCCAGCCTCCAATCCCCTGAGGCCTGCGTATGTACAGAGGGATCTCTCCCATCTGCCAACTTCCTCCAGTCCCCTAGAGCTCTTTCAGGATCACGACTCCATCCCCAGCTTGGATTCTGGGAGTAAACACTCTGCTATCTCTACAACCATACCCCTCCAGCCCCCTCCCCTCATCGGAGAAATGTGCAGTCCATCTCAATCCCCACACTCTTTTCAGGCCCAGAGGCCACTTTCTCTGCTTCTGTTCCGATGGGACACAGGAAGCTCCTAGAGAAAGACAGAGGGACCTGGACACCCAGGTGGCTCTTGCTGGTCAATAATCCTTGTGTTCATCTCGACGGTTTCCCTGCACCCCTACCGGGTGCCCCAACCCAAGCACCTGTTCCAGACAGTCTCCTTCCCACTTCTCTTCTTGGCACATGCCCTCCTCACCTCTCACTTCGTAAGGTCATCAGCTGATGCAAGACTCAGAATTTTCTGTCGTGCCCTCTTCCTCCTGGTTCCAACAAACCAACCCCTTGACGCATGCTTTTAATCCCATTACTTTCCACTTTTACGGATCCCACTTGCATGTTTGTTTCCTCTCTGCTGGGGCTTTAGTCACGCACCTTCACAAATGCTCAGATCTTCCCGATCCTGAAAATGTCCGCAAGTGATTTTGAAGACACTTACTTCTGCCTGGGCTCTTGCCTTACCTTTACCAATAAACATCTGGCATTAGTGGCTACTATCTACCCTTGTGAGCACAGCCATGTGGATACTAATCCTAGCCCTCTACAGAAGCTCTTCTCTTAAAAAAAAATCACATACCCTTTGCTTGTTGCCAAGCACAACTGCTTTCCCCCCATTCTATTGCACCCCAATTCTGGGCTACATTTAAAGCCCCTTGCGAACATCCCTTCTCCTTGGACCTCCGCATTCTCTTCCTTTTCTTTGAATGTCCCGCTAATAAGGAGCGGCCAGGGCTCTTTTCCATATGGTTTTCTGCCTCCACCTCAGGCTGGCAGACAAGCGAAGCCCATCTGTTCCCAAGACTGCCTCTGCTTCTTCAGGATCCAGTTCTCTCTACCACTGGACTCAATGACCTCTCACGAAACATGTTCTAAGCTGGGGTCAGCAAACTTCATCCAGGAAATGCCGGAGGGCAAATGTTTAAGGCTCTGTGGGCCACACGTGGTCTTTGTCACATATTCTTTGTTTTGCCTTATGAGGTAATAACCATGTTCGCTCACAGGGCTGCCGGAATGATCTTTAATGGGCTCCGAACCCTGCAGCCCCACTCCTGGATGCTACCGCACACATCCCACTGCGGGACTTCTCTTCCCTCACCATCAGGCCCTCTTGGCTCTAAAGCCAAGTGGCGAGTGCCTCAGGAACCGCTGCCCACGGCTGACCTGGAAGTTTGGGGCACTCGACTAGACCGGACAACTGGATGGTGGCACTTGCCTGATGTCACTGTGAAGCGCCTGCTCAGGGTAGCTGTAATTTCCATGTTCTTAACTAAATCCAACCTGTTATTAATAGCAATTTAGAAGGAGTTAACAGAAAAACAACTTTCAAAGCAATATGCTCAAAATCATTAAAAAGCCGAGTTCAACAAGAGCTCTTCTGGTTGGACTCTTTAAACACCAGTCTTCTGACAGGTCTTTAAAGATGAATGCTAATTTGCAAAATCAGTTCTTGCCAACTTGACCTCTAGAGTGTTCCCCACCTGGCGTCGTCATACGACTACTGCTATAGCTCTATAGCGACTGCCGTTCTAAGCTCTGGAAACGTTCGCTCCGGCAGCTACGGCTGTTCCTTGATTACTGTTTGTTTCAAGGTGAGGCTGGGACAGCCGGTGCAGCTAACGATGGTTCTCTGAACTGTGTAGGAAGAGAGCTGCTACAGCTTGCTTTTGGATCCTTAGTCCTTGTTCTACATAAATTGTGTAACAGAACCGGAGCTTAGCTCCCCCATTTACCTGCTTTTGGAACAACTCCTTATTAGGTTTATGTAGAATTGGGTACCCTCTGGGTTCTTAAAACTGTAGTGCTTATGAATTGTTTAGGTAAATATCAGGGGCTCCAAGTTCACTCTACAAGCTAATTTATCAACCTCAGCACCTTCAGCAGCTACCAACATGGCTGGTACGCAAACCCCTAATTGCAGACCGACATATAAAGAAGCTGGTCTGAAAGTCAGGGGACTCGGCTACCAGTCTCAGCAGCTGAGCAGCCTAAGGTATGTCACCTTACTGGTCAGGGCCTCGATTTCCTTGTCTGCTAAAGGACAGAGCGGAACCAGAAGTTATCTAAGGTCTCTGGCAGGACTAAAATTCAGTGACTCTAGGCCAACACAGTCCATCATAGCCAAAGACGTGGAAACCATCAATTTAAGGATCAGATTTTTAACTCCTCCGAAAGCTCAAACCACATCTTGGAGCCTTCCTGGCTTCTGGCCAATAGGCGCTTCCCTCTTCTCTGCTCCCACCGTGCTGTGTATAGTTGTAAAACAGAAGCACTGCTTTCTGCCTTGGATTAAAATGCTGCCACACGAGTCTAGTCCTCCCCAGGAGACGGCGAGCTCCTCGAGGGCCGGGGTGGGGGCCTCCTCGTCTAACCTCGTGCTCTGCCCAGAGGGGCACTCTACCGCATTTGTTGGATTCACGGCTAACGCCCCCCACCCACCCCGTGACTCTCCACATCCTCATATCCCAGCCCTGCGCCAGTCAGTCAGCTGTGCTTTCCTGCCGTCTCCCACTCTCTGCTCCTACAAGCTATGCTCCTCCTCAGTCTAAGAACGTGCAATGCATTCCCATTCCCACCCTTGGCTCTCCACAGGTGTCACCCAGACCTCTGCCTCACCAACTCCCATCCATTCTTTAAGGCTTTGGTACAGTTGTTTCTCCTCCATAAACTCTTCTGGATGGCTCCAGCCTTCCCTGAATGGCCACCATATTTTCAGTGTAAAGAGTGGAGTTTCTGAGGAGAGGTCAAACCCCAAAGGGTAGGAACGAAAGACAGAGAGGCAACAGATGCCAAAGGAGTTTAGGGGGCTGAGGGTGGCCATCGTTTCGGTACTTAACACACCAACGGGGCAAAGAGAAGGAAACGAATGCTGAGGGCCCACTATGTGCCAGGCACTGTGCGTTTTCCTCTCCAAAACCCTTGGCAGTACCTAGGTACTGCCGTTTTCGTTTCACAGTGAAGCAATGGAGGGTGAGAGAGGGGAACTCATCCAAGGTCACTCCTGGTAAGGAGCCAAGTAAGGAAGTGAACTGGTCCCACGTGGCCACATTACGGCATACATATACACACTGCAAGCAGGAGGCTGAACAGGAAGTTGGCACTATACAGCGAGACCTTCTTTGAGCAAACAAATTTTTGGGATCACGTATCCATGTAGGCTCGTCCCCCTCCCCCACTCTCTACAGCCTCAGCCTCGGGAGACAATGGCACGCCTGCTGACAGGGGGCGCCACGTTCCCCTGGGGCCTTGCCGGGGTTGGGGGGGGGGGTTCCTCATGAATGCTCTCTCCCTCACTCCCCATACTGCAATCTGCTGCTTACTCTTCTCTTCTTAAATCTTGCCTTTCCTTTGGCTTTTGTGACATTCTGTCCTAGTTTTCCTCTTTTCTGCCATTTCTTCTCAGCTGCCTCCTTCTCTGCCTGCGCTTCTCACTTAGAGTCTAGAGCATCTCCAGCTCCTTCCTCAGCTGTCCCATCAGGCCATACCCTCCCTGATCCTCTTCTGTTTCAACAACTTCAAGTACTATCTATAAGCTGCTAAGTCCATGTTCCACCTATACTGGACTATGTCCTTGCATTCCCAGACACAGGATGCCCGGATGCACCTCAAGATTTTTACACGTGCTGTTCCCTATACTGGGACACTTTTACCTCTTGGATTTTGCCTAACCTTACTCATCCTTCCTTCAGGCCTTAGCTTAGCTGTTCCTTTCCCCTTCTCAAGAGCACCTAGCTCATTGCTTTGTCATCACCGGCTTCTAGACTGTCAGCTCCGAGAGCAGGGACTACATCTGTTGTGCTGATTGGTCTTCCCCATGTTTAGCACAGTGCTTTGCACAGAGCAGAGTCTAAATAAACATGTGCTGAATAATGAACAAATGAGAACTCTAGGATTCATACCTCCCAGATCTCTCTTGTCAGCGGTAGATCATATATCTGACTGCCTCCTGGTTATCCCCATGAGGGGGATGTCTGTCCTACAGGCAGCCCAACTCAGCAGGTCCAAAATGGAACATGGCATCGTGCCCCGCCCCTTCCCCCTGAACTCACTCCTCCTCCTCTACCTCTCACTAGACTGAAAAATGCTGCCCTCCCTTTCACTCCACTGTCCAAGTAAGAACTGGAAGTTGTACAAGGTGAGAGAATTGCTCTCCATCTACCTCGGCTCAGGCCCATGGCATTTCTCACTGGCACTCCAGCAACTGGCTCCTTGCTTCTGGTCTGTTCTTCCAACCTACTCCCCCAAAGTGAAACTGGAATGCGATGGAGATCTAGGGCTTTGAGAGCTGCTGACAAAAGTGTTTGCACGGTGGCCTCTGGTGGTCTCTGTGGCTTTTTCCTGAGCTGTCCTGCTTGCCCCTCAGCACCCCGGAGTTTCTGGGTTTCTTGAGTCCATACACCTGCTTGCCTCTGAGTGTCCATCGGCCACTCCCTTGCCTAGAATGCCCTCGCCCCTCCCATCACCTGGCAACTCCCACTAGGTCTTTGGGGTCTAGCTCCAGCATTCGCTTCTGAGGGAAACCTTGTTCACCTTCTGGCCTCGGGTCAGGCCCCCTCTGTGTTCTTTCAGGGCACCCCCTGCGTCTCTGGCCTAACAGAATCACACTGAGGTGACTACCTGCTCTCTTACAGGCCCATATCCCCCACCAGCTTGTATACTTCTTGTCTTACTCATCTTTAGGTCCGCAGCTCCAGCACAGTACAAAGATTTGAACAAATAAACGAAATTTCAGATGTGAGGGAGGACAGCTTTAGAATCTGGAATTCACAGGGGGTGTGTGTCTGTCAGGAGATCCTGAGGGGGAAGAGGGAGAACAAAACACTGGCCCTGCCCTACTTCAACTGCTTCTGGACACAGAGTTCATCAAAAAAGGAAAAAAGAATCTCCAAACCCCACTCACCTCTCATTGACAGTAAGGTTCTGTTGCTTTAAAAAACCCAGAAAAATGTTGAGGACCCAACTAGTTACTTTTTTTGGCTCTGCCCTAGTTTCTTTTATCACATTTTGGAAGAACTCCAGTAGGCCAACTTCATTCTGTGAAGAAAAAAAAAATGTATATATATATATACATATATATATGTATAAAGTCTCCCCCAAAATGAAAGATCAGCATTCTGAAGGCAGATCTGAAACTGTCACCCTCTGCCTCCTCTAAGACCTCTACCTGTACTTTCTTAAACACGGAACTGTCACCAGAAAATTGTGATCACTTTCAGTAAACAGCAAGTATTCGACTTCTACCACTGTCACTGTGCATTTTTTTAATACAGCATTTTCTCACAGGAACAAACATATGTCAGAGAGCCTGGCTTGGTGAACCAGAGGACAATGAAATCCACTCTCCCCCAAACTCACCTGCCCTCTCGCTGTCAGCCTTGCGTACCCTACAACCTTAACCCTTTTATCCTCGGGCCCACGATGTTTGGCCTGAGTTTCCTGTCCTTTTTCTTTCCAGGTCTATTCTCTGCTGGAAGTCCCAGCGATTGTGAGAATAAGGAGGCAGGAAAAGAAGCAAATCAAGAAGGAATAGACGGAATATTCTACCTCTGGAAAATCAAAAGTGGATCGTAACTATATGTATCTTCACATCATCCCAGGAAGTGACAGAAATGGTTTTCAAAATGAGGAAGAACCCAGGTACATGTGATCCACTTAGACCACAGGACTGATGGAGGCAGTAGGGGCTTCCAGGCCTTCTGAGCCAAGCCAGACACAGCTTAACCCTGCCTCTGCTCTTGCTCCGTGAAAACAATCATCAAGGGGACTTGAAGAAGACTCTACCCCCTCTGGACTGTCAGCTCTGTGAGGCGGGGGCCATTCTGTCCGGTTCACTTTATAACTAGAGCTAAGTCAGGGCTGGGCAATGGCAGCTACTTGGGAGTATCTGTGGACGGAATCCACGCCTGCCATCACCACGTGCATTTAAAAAAAAAAAAATCACAAGTGAATGCTCCTTCTTTATCGTGCCATGTTCACCTTTAAATATTAGAATTGTCCCAGGCTTGCATAAGAGTAACCCCAAGGCACTCATCAAGTGGCTAACTGCCAGCTCAGATCAGTTTGGCAGAACCAAAAGGTCTGGCTAAGTCCATCCTTTGTTTTCCAATAAGAAAAATAAAAACATGTGCTCCTCACATACGGGAAGGTGAAGCTTCCAAATGCAGAGGGAACACATTTCTTAGTAGATTTCCCCTACCTGCTGCAATTCAAATCAAACCCCACTTTCCTTGAAATAGTCTTTTAAGCTTTATACTGTGGGTAAGGCTCTCACCCTTGCCCCTTTCAGAAAAGCTTTGTTAAGTGAAGGAACTTTCTGGAAAAATAAGGTACTCGGAAGAGCAAGACATACTAACAAAAGTGCTCTGAAAGTTTAACTATTGTAGATGCTGTAAAATATACATGGGCATACAATTGCTAAAGTAGACATTCCATAATAAAAAAAAATCTACATGCCCTTTGTAACAGATACATTCTCTGGTGACAAGCCTACTGAATAATCCCATAATCATCTCTTGAATCTCTTTTCAGGCCAACGTTACTATTCTGCTCATGCTAAACCAGGGCAAAGGCTGCCTCAGCAGCCAAAGCTTGACTGCAGATAAGGGAAATGCAGGCAGAATGAAGAGGAAGACCTGCTTAACTTACAGAAAAGTATTCCAACTTCCACCATGATACAGCAAACCACTGGGGAAGTAGAAAATCGCTCTCCAGCCCAAATCAGATGGGCAGAATTCCCTTTGTTCTAACCCAGACAGGCTGGCTCGCTGGTAAAAAGAGCTGTCAGAAGAACTCTTTGCTTTGCCAAGGAAAGGTTTTCTAAAGCCACCTAGAAATATTGCAGTTGAACTTCCAGGCTTGGCTGAGGTGCTGGGACGTGATGAATAGCTCTTCTTCTACCCTTGGGTGGTTTTTTTTTTATTGGATGGATAACATGGCAAGTCAGATTTGTTTGTCTTTTTGTGTCAGTGCTGTGATGAAGCCTGTCGGAGCTGGAACTATACTTCACTGGGGGATGCACGGTTTCAGTACACAATTGCAAGCGGACGTGAAAATCTGCGGGTGTAATGGGGTGAGCAGCCAGCAGCAGGGCTGAAGGAGGCCGGGCCGCTGCCGCCCAGAGAATGACGGATCGATGCCGAGGCGCACATGGGCCGCCTGCTCTGGCTCTTTAGATCAGAAGTCCACCTTTCGAGAAAAAAAACTGCAGCATTCTAGATAAGGTTTCCTTAGTTTTTCTATGAGATCGGCAACTGCTAATAAGCGAATAAGCACGAATCTCAGAAGTCCCTGGTGAACATGGCAGTGCAGCCATCTGGTGTTCTCAGGAAAACTGTGGGCTGGTGATTCCCTTACATAAAAACTATGTAAGAGCAACGCAAAAAGGCCATTGCGTTAGGGAGCCCCTAGCTTCCTTCTCAAAGGCGACATGCAAGCGTCCGACTCCGCACTGACCTCTCCTACGTCAGACAGAGCTGACACCGTAGCGATATGGCGCGTCGTCTCCTGGCCAAAGGTAACACTAATTGTTCCTTCAGCCACAGCTAACGCGGCAGGGACAACTGGTCCTGTCTTTCGTGTAACACCAGACAGCCTCCACAGCTCTATGGCCGGGAAGTGTCCTTTCACATTTTAATCAAATTTCCCCGAAGCATTCAATTACACCCAGAGCCAATGCCAGGTCAGCCTCGGAGACGCTAACAGGAGCCCTGCACCGCTAATGGATCTGTCAGCTGGTCACTGCAGGTGTGAGGCGAGGCGCAGGGATTGCCCCACCTGCGCGGCCTGCCCTGGGGAGGAACCCCGATTCGCCCTTGCGTCGGGCCCCAGAAGCAATGTCTTTTTGCATGCTACTGTCTTCTCACCAAGCTGTCTTGTCCGTTCTACCTTTGGAGACGACAAAATGTCCGAAGGCTATGCAGTTGGAATAGGAGGAGGGCTGGTTTCCCAACCACCATTCTTGTTCTAAGTCCCACACCCTTTGAACCTGATGACAGGGCAGAAATTAGCTGGACTATATTTAGAAGGAGAACAAAACCTGACAGAGACAGCTGCCCAGTGACAGACTCAGGAAAAAGCCCACAAAGTGCAAGTTGAGGAGCAGCTGATTATGTGGCAGGGAGTGACCTGGCAGCTAAAGGAACCCCAGACTGGCAACTCGGGGCTAGTTAAAAAGCTTGCAGGAGTGTATCCAGAATGGGGGCTAGACACGGAGAGAGTAGCCGGCCCCGTGGGGAGCCGCACGTGGCGGATGCTCCTGCTGATGGTATTAACAACGACAACAACAGGTGCTAGGCACTCTTCTAAGTAAACTCATTTAATTTTTTTTTTTTTTAAGATTTATTTATTTGAGAGACAGTGTGTGTGAGAGAGAGCATGAGAACAGGGTGAGGGGCAGAGGGAGAAGCAGTCTCCCCACGGAGCAGGGAGCCCGATGTGGGGCTCGATCCCAGGACCCTGGGATCGTGACCTGAGCTGAAGGCAGACGCTTAACCCACTGAGCCACCCAGGTGCTCCAACTCATTTAATTCTTTTTTTTTTTTTTTTTTTAAAGATTTTATTTATTTATTTGAGAGAGAGAGAATGAGAGAGAGCAAGCACATGAGAGGGGGGAGGGTCAGAGGGAGAAGCAGACTCCCCGCCGAGCAGGGAGCCCGATGCGGGACTTGATCCCGGGACTCCAGGATCATGACCCGAGCCGAAGGCAGTGGCCTAACCAACTGAGCCACCCAGGCACCCCCCAACTCATTTAATTCTTAACAACAACCCTCGGTTGATACTAGTAGAACTCTCTCTTACAGATGAGGACACTGAGGCATTAACTTGCTTGAGCTTCCACAGCAAGAGAGCAGCAGAACTTGGATTTGAACCTCTGCGGTCTGTGCCCTTCATCTCCATGTTACACTGCCTCTGATGAAAATATCATGTCCCTGCCTTCCCGGGAACTGAGACTGAGCACCTAGCAGTGCCAGGCACAATGTGAAGCAACAAGCTTATCAAAAGAATGCCCTTTCCCACCACTTCCATTATCTTATTTGGTACCTGCCATCTGTTCAAAGGTTCTTCACACATTAAAAATGTTGCAAAGGCCCTTAGCAATTAACTTAGAAATTAGGAGAAAACGGCAGGTTCTCTTTCTGCCTCTGCCAATGTACCCCTATGCCACCTGGCACTTCCCGCTGTGGCGGGGCACACACCTGCTCCCAGATCAGGAAGGCAGACAGATTCACGCCCCCCGCCCTAGGCCACACAGAGCTTCTGGGGCACAGGAGGGTGGCTTGAGTTCCCTGGGCCTCTCTTCTGCATCCCCTCCACACTCTCTCCTCATGGAAGTTATGGTGAGTGCACCTCAACCAAGACCCTGCCCAATTCTGCAGCGCCTTCGGACCTTACAAAACCACCCCCACTACTGCTCACATAGTCTTGGTGTCAGGCAGACTGCATCTTACTACATTCTAACTCTTCTGCTACGGGGACTTCGTGCACCAGTTTATACCTAACCGGGCAGGTCATTCCTGTGTGGGGAGCAGCCGACTATACAGCAGACCCTGCATCTGTGGACTGAACAACGGTGGCTTCGACCAGGCGAGGTGCTCATGTGTCATGACGTGTCATTCCGTGGAGGCACAAAGGGAAACTGCACCCATCTGCCACGTGGTGGGGGTGCTGGGGTGAGCGGCCACCGAGCATTTCTGGAAACACTGTAAGAGGGCCCAGCATCTGTCTATCGGTGGGGACTCTGTTGTTCCCTCTTTATTCCTGTGGGTTTGATCACTCTTACAAAGTGAGAAAAACAGAATGCAGACCCATCACCTTTGTGAAAATAACACTGAATGCTAGTGTTGGGATGGAAATGGAAATTAGATAGGGAGGCCTGAGTGATGGTTCTAAGGAAAGAAAGCAGAAGTTATGGTGAGATTAAGGATGGACACATTCAGTGGGGTGCCAGCTTGGATCTACGATGCGAATGAGCCTTCTCTCTGCTTCTCATGGAAACAAGAAGTGGCTGTGGAAATCTGGCAGTGAGTGGAGGGGGT